ATACAAAAGTTATCGTATTTTTTAATATTTTTCAGAAGTTGATTTACTTTTCACAAGTTTATTAGAAACTTTAAAAGCTAAAACATAAACTAGAAACTTCTGACCAAGGTTCACAAAATATTTATACTACTAACACTATATTATCTATCCAACTACTTCTAGTTTCATTTTAGAAATTTGTAAATTCATTTCCTAAGTTTCCTACTTTCGAAGTGAATACTTTCGCAATCTTGTTAAAATTTTCAAAGTGTAAACACAAAAAACTGTCATTGCAGAAATAGCTTTTAGCAATCTCTTGCCTTATTTATGCCAAACATTTTGCCTGCAGAATTTTGTAAAATTTACACATTTTGTACATTTTGAACCTACCTATGCAGCCATGAGCCTATCTATTGACAACACACAATCATTTGCACAATCTCAGCCCGAACGAACACACATTAATGTTTATTATATACAATTTGCACAACAAATAGCTCAAAAATTTATGCAGCTACGAACAAAAGGCCAAATGTTATTGCAGGCCCAACAAGCTTCAATTTACAGTTACAAACAAATGCAGATACTGCAGATACAGCTATAGATATAGATAGAACATGTGCAAGGACCACAAGGAACTGAGTATTCACACTGAAAAAAATGTATACTACTACAGTTATATTCCAGATCAGTTTTCAACCATTACATTCCATTTCATTTAGATGCATTCGAATTTTTTAGACAAATATCCATATGATACTTGTATATCTACATTGCGATTTGGAATACTTATACAAATTCTATGCTTTCATAGCCATATATATTTACAATGATAAGTATGATGGATAATATTAAATAGCAACAACAAATTTGGTAATGTTTCTATATCTTATGACTAAGTTTATTATAAGCCTCCATTTATTATGTGAATGTCTTCATAAAGGTTTATCCTATAACTCGTTTTGGCAGCTGTTGGATGCAAATGGTCCTATTCTGGTTATCGAGTTCAAATACATTTATAGAATTTGAATAGACTACAGTTTCCGGTTTTAACGTGTGCTAAAAGATGCTTTAAAGTTTTTGAAAATCTACCGATTTCAATAACAGAATAATGGTTTGAAAATGTAAAGATATCGGTATGCCACAGAAATTATTCAAAAGCAAACTGCCATTTTCAGCCTAAAAATAATATCTAAGTGCCACGGGAAACGAGCTATTTGATTTATGGGAACACTTTTCGAGCATCACAAAGTTTACAAAATATGTAAAAAATAAAAACTTTGAAAATAAATTGAACATGTTCTCACACATGTTATAGCACTATAGACTATAGAGTGGATATTAATTTATTTGTAAATAAAACTGAAACATATATGTTAGTATTTTTAATATTTTTCTTTTTTCAAATTTGTTTTTTAGGATTAAAAAAATGTGAAATAAAGGTTCTGCAAATTGTTTAAGTTCAATATTCAAAATGTTACAGTCAAATTACTGAGTAAGTCATTAACTAATTGGAAATAATATTCAGTTCAAAACATATTACTGTGATATCTGATAAGATACTTTCATTCACAATATTTTTCGATTAAGAAAAATGTCTTTACGAGAAGAAAAAACGTGGCTAAGTGACTAAGGTAATACAGCAACTCACAAAGAGTTTTAAATGTGATGGGATATATATACATACATATGTAAATTTAACAATTTTAATTTCATAATGTTTTTTATTTGTCTGTCTAATTGCAATGTACGAGTTTCAATGTTTTATTTCTTTCTGTGCATATATGTCCTGCTGGCTGCTCCTCGGTTAGTTTACAAACAATTAAAATGGCAAAATCAAAATCGAAATATATAAATTTATGCGTCTAGCTGCCATTGCTTTTCTGCCAGAAACATATTCGTATAGTCGTCGCATTGTACGAGTACTATAGTCAAAAATAAATTGTATGCAGAAAATTTCGGGACGCCCAACGCTCAACTAATGAAATAATGTGGCAGCCGTATTAAATTATGGCCCACTCGGTCTCTGGGGTGCCACTCCCGGCCTGTCCTGTCCTGCCCTGTCCTGTCCTGTCCTGTAGACAATAACTATATTTTCAGCAGCAAGGTGAAGGAAGCGAAAATTTGGATTGCATTGTTGCTGCTTGATTTGCAATCACCCCAACCCCAATTCAAATAACATCCCCCGCGCTTCACCTCTAGCAACATAAAACAACAACAACAACAGGAGCGAAACGACCCCTCATTGACTATTCACACTCATGTTTTTATATACAAGTATGTGTGTATACATATATATGTATATTATTATTTCTTCTTGTGATGCTGTATAAAATTTTTATTATTTGCTCGTTTACGGCTTTAGCGCTTTACTTTGTCGGCGGTGGAAGCAGCGGCAGCGGCAGTGGCAGCGCCGTCTGTTCGTTTTATCGTTTCTCTTGTAGTGCAAAATTATCACAAAACTCATTGAATTTGCTTTTATTGTTGTCGGCTGTGCGTCTGTGCATGCGTTTGTGTGTGTACGTTTGTGTGTTTACGTTTGTGTGTTTACGTTTGTGTGTGTGTGTCTGCCACCCACCCTCGCTGCTGACGCCAGGATTTCGGCAACGGCTGGTGGCGGCGATGTCGTCGTGGTCGTTGACGCTGACGCGGACGCTGACATTGACGTCGACATCGGCAGCGTTGCAGCGGAAGCAAAGAGTGCGGTTGCCTTGCCGTCTTATCGTTTCCCTTGCTGAGTGGCTGTGACTGCGGCTGATGTTATGGCCGGCGCTACACAGAGTACATCGCACAGTGGGCCGTAATGGCTTGTCAATAAATAATTGAGATGCAATTGCTCAACAGACTGCATAATTTATTCCTGTTTGTATGACTAAATTCGAGGATTATGTTGGAGACGTTATTGAATAATCATGTATTTGTTTAGTTTTTTATGCCATGGACCCAATGATTAGATATTTTTTGTGAAAATGTGTGTGCAGTGGATTTAGGAGTTGAGCCCGCTTGACTCTAGCATTCCTTTCTTGTTTTGTTTAGATGGTATTGTAAGGTCATATTGTGCTATTTCTGAACATCTTATATTCATCGACTTGTAAAATAAATGTAAGCAGGCGGTATATAGCTCTTTGAGTGAGTTGACGCGTCGAAAAAATGTAGTTGTCTTAAAAAGTCATAAAGATGAAGTATTCCGTAATAACTATGCAGTTTCAGGCTTATTTCTTTGACTAAAACGTGCATATAATTTTAAATCATAAACAAAGTATGTATTTAAATAATGAGAATGATTATTTTTGAGAATTATACACACGCACATAGACGATTTTATATTACAGTTCAAATGTATATATTTTAAGGCATACTTTTAGGATGCACAATTTATTTAAATTGTACTTATGTTTTCCAATAAACTGATTGCCATTTTGTAAAACTCGAAGTTCGGAACAGTTATATTCAGCGAAACCTCTCTTAAAGAACACCCTTTTTATCCGGACATCCATCTTGGGCGGACACTTTTTGTAGAGCATTCGTTCGATGTACTAAGTACTTAAGTATCCCCTTGAGCGGACACTCCCGTTGGGGAAACAAAAGTTGGACGACGTCGAGTGTCCGGCCAAAATAATTTTCACTGTATATTTAAATATTCTTGGTGTAAATTTAAAATTGTAGCTATTTTTGAAAGCAGCGCTATCTGAGTAAGTATACGGCTCAATACAAATTTGAAATGAGGGAAATGAAACCAGTTGACAACAAATTTGAATGTTTCCAATTTTTAAAAAGATTTTAAGTGCAGAGCATATGTATGTATCTGAGTTTTGGAAAGTCGAATCTTCACAAAAAACATAAAAAAGAGAACGAAAATAGGAATATAGCGACATTGCATTTAATACATTTGCAAAAGTTGATTTCGAGGACAATGTACATGCATGGTTATGTAAAATCTTTAAAAACGTAGGCATTAACATCGAATACATAAAACTGCCAAGGGCTTGAGTTATTATAGAATAAGTTTATTTAGAACAAAACATGTTCGCTGCTTATCTCACTTTTTTTCGCAGTTCCATACCACGGTGCATGCACTGTTTTGCTGCCTCCTGCAACTTCAACACATACAGTTAGTCATAAAGAAGAAAAAATCTTTGGTTTAAGGCTCTTGAAAATGCGGTGCTGCCACTGTCGGCGACCTCATCATCCACATCCTCATTGTCGCGTCCTGCTCGTCCTTGTGCCTTTGTTGGGTGGCTGCGGCTTGTTGACCACCCGCCCAGACTCCCCTGCACTTAGCAGACAATGAGGCATGTTGCTAAGGCTGAGGGTGAGGCCGAGGACGAGGGTGCGAGTGCGGGCGACTGTTAGGGTAGGGGTGGCATGGGTGGCAGTGTCGAGCCGCTTGTGGTTTTTGGACCGTCTGCACGTCGGCTGCATCTGTCGCATGCCGGAACTAAACGCCACATACAGTCATCCCGGGAACCAACCCCTAGAGCGGATGCAGCAACGAGCTGATAATGATGGGCGCTGGCTGCGATTATGATGGGTTTGATAGAGACGAGTACGACAACGTCAGAGACAGGGACGGGGACGGAGACGGGGACAACTCCTCGACTTGACATGCATGATTTAGTGCGAGGATATTACAAGCGGCAACCTGCCCGAGCCTTTCACCACCTGCCCTCCAGGATTGGCGAGCGATTTCGTTTTCATTTCGCAAATTGCAAATAAGTTGTTGCTGCTTTCGATGTCGCCTCGTGCCGTGTGACATTTCTCGCAAATTATGTTTTTGGGCGACCCAACCTAATCCGATTATTGTCTGCACTCGCTGCACTTTTGCATCGGGCTGCCAACATATGGCGGACACACGTAGAGCTGCACTTATTGTGCTTATTGTTGGACCGTGGTTTGTTCGCATACCCCCCGTAATTGGATTTCGATGACTGCAAATTGGTGATAATTTCGATTTGCTGGCGGGCGCGACAGCGCACGTGATTCGCAAATGGCAGCGAAATTTGAACATGTGCGCAGTCTCCTTATTCCTGGTCGGCACCGCGGCCGGAACCAGAACCGGGACTTAGTTGGGCATGGGTCTGAATGTCTAGCCATTGCTGTGTGTTAGTGCATGAGGCTCTGGTTAATGCGCGCAATATTTCGTGGTAATGCCAGCTAAATACATTGTTGGGCACGGGCACTTGAGCGGCCTTGGAGCCAAATTAAATATACAGCATCAAAGCTGGCTCGTCTAGGATAAATGCTTTTAAATGCAAAATAGACAATTCCACAACCTCCAAGCTGCTAGAATTACTCAAAAGGTATGAAGAAGCTTGCCATTATAGGCGAGGATAGGTGTAGAAGCTCAACAAGTTGGGGTTAAGAAAAGCCCTCAAAACAACTTCCTTCCTAATCGCTAAAAATGGCCTCAATCTTCTCGAGTCCCATATACTCTCACTATTAGGGAAGAATAATTGAACTCTTGGAAAAAGCCAAAATTTACTTACTTGTATGAAAGAGGAAGCCTACAACAAAGTGAAGATCTGCTTTCAGGCAGACCTATCGTATCAACTTTATCTAGAAATAACTAAATGCAAAACCACAGTTCAGTTAATAGGTATTACCAATGATAACAAACTTTCCGGCGCTTTCAGCAGTTTCTTCTAAGAATACATAATGTGCAAGAGGTGCGGCCAATTAAAGTGTTTTCACTTATTAGTAGTGCTAGAAAGTGACAATTTTCATAGTTAAGTTCTGCTGTATCTTAATTGACAAACGGCTTCTCTCACTAAGGATTCAGAGCTACCTGAACGAGCTACACTTCAAGGAGGACGAACTAATATGGACTTCAGGTGTTGGCACGATGAAAAGCAGTTGGGTGGCACTGGGACCTTCAAAGATAATGACTTATTTCAAATGGCACCGTACACAACCCGATGATGCATGGGGCGTTGAGAATTGCTTGTGCATCCAACATGAACGTAATGATTGGTATATGCACGATTTGAATTGTCTGAAGGCATATGCCTCGCTATGTGAGGGCAATTGGCACCAAGCAGTATAAAGAATGTGGACGAATTGAAAAGTGATCGAAATACATATATTTTAAGCTGGTTTAAGCAAAATAATTATACGGGTATATTTTATTTTGGTTTCTCTGAAATCGCTTGATCCGTTTTGGAGTGACAAAAATCTGGGATTTGCTCAACTGCTTAAACAGTTTGATTTCGTATTCCATTGAATTGTAATTTCTCTTTAATTTGTGTATATGTTTAGCCTGAGCTGCAGTTTTTTTGATGCAACTTACTTTGCATTACATTTTCCATGTTAGCACTGGCTTTCATTTTGGGATGTTACCTTGACCAATAAAGAAGCCTCAATAGATTTTTTACGTGTATACCAAGTCAAGTTCGGTGTATTGTTTGCGCTTAAGATGAATCCGCTGCAGAATTTATTTAAAATTATTTTCAAGTGGGTTGCGTTCTTCACATATGTAAGACAATTTTTTGCGACAGACGTAATCGTTCATAAACCAATTCTCACCAATTCTATAAAGGTTTATGCAATTCTCAGTGTCTCGACAGTCTGGTTGACCATCATTCCACTTGGCATATGGTAGGGGCCTAGCCAGACCTAATTGCAACCAGCTGCCTTGCCGCCCGAAACCTCCAATCCAAATCCAATCACCTCGAAAGCCCATGCGCGACAAATACGACTCCAGCTCAAAAAATTCCTGTTCACTGGATATAGTGGTTAGTTGCAAGCCAGCCTGGATGCAGGCGGCATTCGCTTCAAACCAGTTGAGCTGCGAATCAGAGCGGATTATAGTAGCTTCATTAGCTTTAAGTGGCGCACTCACCTTCTCATAGCTCTCGATGTAATAAAATTTGTCTTGCACCTTATGCAAGGCCAGGCTGCAATTTCTGGCTATGATAGAGAACTGAATTTCGCTTTTGATTGCGTCAGCATTGAAGCTTTCCGCGCCTACAGGTGCCGACAGTATCAAGTTGAAGAGCGGCAGTACGAGCCACAGTAAGTTCCTATATTCCGGCATTGCGAAAAATAAAATGCTAGCGAGCTACTACTAGCATGGAGTTTATATAGGGAATTGAATAGCTGATTGGTTTATTTAGCGCTGATAAGAATATAGGTTGAATACATATACTATGTATGTATGTGAATAGTGAGGTCAATCAGAGTTCTTTCGTTTCTCAAATAAAAGACGCTCTGTTGTATGCAGCACATTTTTACAACAGCTGAAGCGTGCCACATCGAAGGCTTTACTTTCATTTTCCTGCATGACCATTTGGACGTTACAGAAGGTGATGATGATGACGATGACGATAATGATGTCTGACTGGCGCTGATGCTGCTGCTCCTGCTGCTGCTGCTGCCTCAGAGCCATTACATTGAATTGTGCCCACGGGGCGTTCGTGTCAATTTATGCAACTCTCTTGCAATTTCCGGTATATTAAAGCAATTTCCAGCCCACTTGCTACCGCAACCACCCACAAGCGAGTGCATGAATTAATGGGCACGCATGTGGGTGTCTATATTGGAACTGCCCTCCGGGGCTTATGCGCAACCGAAGTGTGAGTTATGGATAGCAGAGTTGTTCACTTTGTAGCGCTCAAGTTTAATCAGAAAATTTGGCATGCAAATCGTCGTCGTCGTCATCGTCATCGACAAGTACTTTCAATTATCATTTACAAATTTCGACGCACTTTCCAAAGAAATCAAAGTTTTCACACCCCGCGGCGCATCTACTGCGAAACCCTTTGCGTAGCAAGCTCCTAGGTGGGACGCAATAAAAAATTTTGTTCTGGCAAGTGCGTAAAAATGTCAAAACGTTTTAACAGCATTTGAAGACTACACAATACAAAATTTCGCAAGCAAAAATAATGGAAAAAAAAAAAACAGCAGCAGCAGCCAAATGCAATTTATTCAGGATGTAGTCAAGTGGTGCTGCACCCGGGGGACTGTTTGATTTACCGTCAACAGGAGATTAAAAAAAAAAAAACTGTGCGTATAAACGAAAAAAGTGAATTAAGAACTTGTGTGGTGGAACGAACGAATGAGGGTTGATTGTCAGCCAATGGGGCGGGGCAGGACCAGCAGCGAATTGAGTTGTAACACTTGGCAGGTTTTTATCTACGCACAACAATCAGACTGAGAGCACAAGGCACATAAACCACCAAAAAAGCAAACCACTGAACCGCCAAGCAGGCCAAAGTTCTGCAGCTGACCAACCAGGCGAGGGCGAGGGCGACGGCGAGGACGAAGAGGAGTAGGAGGAGGAGTTCGGGGACAACTGTTTCGTGTTGGCGCGTGTTGATAACAAGATTTGTTTTTCAAAATTATGGAGGGTCGTACTTAATTACGCTGAAAAGCGCAATGGGCATTAAGCAATGTGCAATTTGGCAATAGCAGTGGCCACAACCCAGCCCAACTCCGGCCAGCCCAGCTCCGGCCAGCCTAGCCCAGCTCAGAATCACCCCAGCCGGCATCGGCAATTTAACTAAATTAAATTTAGAGCGCACTCCCCCCAGCCAGAGCCAACATTCGATTTTAAAAAGTGCGAGTACTCGTAGTCAAAAGTCAAACGTGCGCGTTCGTTACTTGCCCCGCAGCTATTTGTCCCACAGTTTGATTTTGGCCAGATAAGGCCAGACCGGCAAACAGACAGACACACAGACAGATAGACAGACTGACAGTCAGACACACCCCTCATGCGGCCCATGCACGCATCCTTAGACAAATATGGCAGCAGCCCAGCCGAATTGCTCGGCACTCTACATGAATATTCCATTAAAAGCGAGCGTCAACGAATTGAACAATTTTTACTTTATGATTTATTGTAATGAGCTTTTTATTTATGGCAGTCAGTGTTGTATTGGCTCGAGTTGTTGTCTGTTGCTTTGAAAATTAAAAATTAATTAACCATTTATCACATGGCTGTGTCTGCTTCGAAAAGCAGCTGTGCAATGGGCTGAGTAAGTGGCAATTCGCTGACATAGGTCTTAATTAACGATAGCCAGACAGTAACAGGAGATCTGCAGCAATAGATATTGGCTGATATGTTCTTCTGTGTTGAAGTGGCGCCCAACGTAGGGCACGTTATTCTCTAACCATTTGGTTTTAATTCTTCTAGGAGCAACTGGTGCCATTTAGCAGCTGATATTGCTTTGCAGGAGTGCATATGTGAAGTGGCGCCCAATAAAGGGCCCATTATTATCAGTGTGAATGCTCTTTAAAAATCATAAGGAGCTTGAACTATTCCTGCTGGTCGAATTTAGGGCAGTCTCAAAGTGATGGTTTAAATCTTCGAAATATACTTTAATTCTTTCAAATCATAAAGCTGATTCTTGATGTTAGAGATCAGCCTCATTTAAAATGCAATCTATTGCTGACTTCACTTTTCAACAATTTTATTTCCGGATCTATTTCTACTGAAATTTGTTTTCACAGACTAGCGCTAGCACAATAAAATCGTATTAAACATGAAATTGTAAACCGTTTCGTAAAAAATAATGATGCGTTCCATATCAAAATGAACACAATTGTCATTCGCACTTGGGTACTTAGGATTGGATATCTCCGGGTTCCTCATGGGGTGGCACTTCACAGCGCGGAAATACAGCGCTCTCATAAGTTGGAATCATGTACTTAATATTGATAAAAGCATTGGGACCACCACAATGCTCCAACAGTTTCAATGTGTCCTCAATGACATCGCCAATGCGTTTGCTGCGATCAGGATCAATGCCAGCTCCAAGATTGACGTTGATGTTCTTATAGAGATTACAAACGGCCAGTAATTGGCGGTAGAAAGGCACCAAAGCTTGTCCCACACAAGGGCCTAAGCAGAAGTCAGTTCAGTAACTGTTTTGTCAAAATTTTGTCTTGTGCTTACCCAGTCGTACCATAAGCTGTAGCACATGCAGTGCTGAGATGATAATGCGCTTGTCGCGCGTTTGAAAGGCACGTTTCAGGGGCAAAATAACTTTTGGTAGCACTGGCAGAACCTTTTGGGGCGCCTTCATAATCATGTCGATGGCGGCATTAAATGCCAAGAAACGCGTATCGTTATCGGCATCGGCCAACCTGCGACGAAATTTTGAGTATAAAGGAGCCCTAGCTATCACTTATATGAAGACGTACCCATCCACAAATATGGGCAAGTAGTAGCAATAATCCAGATCTTCTGGCGTGCAGTACCAACGCAAGGGACGTTCCTTGGTTGGATCTGATTTGTTGCTGCGACCGGCCAAGACCACAGGTATGTCGCCACGACTAAAGTAGATCTTGAATACGGTTTCCTTATTCGGACGGCGTTTGAAGATATCAATCCTAAAGAGACACACACAGTTCTTTTACCTGAGCTTTGACACATTTCCACTTACTTTGGGGGCGGCGCTACAACTGTATTTTTCTGCAAGGCCTGATAGGTGAAGGCGGGCACTTCCCGTCTGGCCTGCAGAGCAGCCAAGTTTAGCAAAACTGTTCTCTAGTTGGGCTATTTTTGTTACTCACGCGCTTGGATCTCATGTATAGAAGATCGCGACAGACTTTGCCAGAGTCATGACGGCGTGTTGCACGCTCCTGTGGCTTGGAACACATCCTGACTATAGAAATATCAATAAAATCTAGCGAAAATGTAGAAAAGTACTTTGTGGAAAAGAAGTGACTAACGTTATAACTAACTATTCGACTGAGTTTTGATTAAATATATACAGATGTGTTATGCAAGGGCTACTTAATGAAAATGCCAACTTCACTTGTTGATTGACTATCGAGGTCCTACCGAACACTAATATAATGGCTAGCTGAGGTATCTTAAATAAATCAGTCTCCCAACATGAGTGATGACGTATCAAGATATGGGAATTATATGGAATAAGGCTTTATTCTGATCACACGTCCGCAATTCCACACTACACTATGACCCAAATCTGGAGATCGTTGAGCTCCAGTAAAGAAGCATACCTGCCAGATGAGCGTCCTTTCAGCCATCTAAAAAGCTGATAGCCGGCTTTAAAGCTCTAAAGCTTTAATATCGATTTAATCTTTTCATACCCAACCTTACATCATTATGTAAATCTAACAATTTGGTGTATTTTTTGTGGGGCTTCATTTTGTTGGCCGATCAATAAATTTAAAAAGTGTCTTAAATACAAATAATGCTTTTAAAAACAAACAATTATTGAAGCAAATATATTGTTTCTATACCCTGAATCTAAATGGAGACACTAAACTTATTAAAGCTGGGCATTAAAATAATGAAAAAAAGAAGAAAAATGTATTTCGATATAATATTTGATGTCTTTAGGTTTTTTTTATAAAGTTTATTACTTTTAACATTTATCGAAATAGCAATCGCCATTCTCTAACGTTCGAATTTGTTTTTGAGCTGAATTTCATAATATTGTAGTTTTTAAAGCAACAATTTCTCAAATAATTTATTAATTTATTATTAATTATTTAATTCTATTATTTATTTAATTAATCTATGTGATTGTTTTGTTAAAATAATTTCACTAATTTTCATTTCAATTTTTTACAGTTTAATGAAAGAATTATTGGGCCGAGAATGGAAAAAATTAGCGTTAGCATCCGATGGGAATTCGTGATTAGATATTATTGAAGCTTTAATTTGATTTTGTATTTGTGTTTTTACATTCCAAGTTTGATTTTGAAATGCTTTAATATTATCAGAAAAATAAGAATAATAATGAATTGTTACTAAAATTCAATTCACTTTATTTGTGTATTTATTATTATATTATTATTAATCCATGTTCTCATTTTCCCTTTTTTGTTGTTTTAATTTAATGTTAAATAAATTGTAATAAAGAGTAAATTTTATTATTTGAAATTAAATCATCCAGAAAATGAAACGATTTCACTCTTCATCAATTATGCCAAAAGTACACAGCATTGCGCATTTAGTGCTGTTAGTCTACAAATGCTGTAAATAAACGAAAATATTTATATTTAAATAACACTCTCTATCTGCTTATCAACACTTCACAGCAACGAAACAACAACAGCAACAACCCCAAAAATCACTTAGACTATCAGCTTGTGGAAGTGTGTGTGGGTGGAGCTGGGAGGGGGTTTTGTGCGCTGCCTGGTGGCATACATTTAACACCTAAATGTCTCTAAAGAGTCATAAAGGGAAAGTGCAAACATTTGCGCACTTTATCATCTTTTTCCATTTCCACGTTACCGACAGGGCAACGGTAAATATTTTGTAACGCCGCCAATTACGAAGACGACAGGCAGACAGGCAGAGAAGCAGAAAAGCAGCAGAAGCCAGCCCCACCTCCACTCCACTCCCCACCTCATCCCCCTTCCCCTTCCTATTCCCATCTCCTTCTCCATAAACCGAAGCCACCGTCGCATGACGCATTAACCTACTTTGGCATCCGCGTCGCCTAGGTGGATGCGAATGAAAGAGAGAGCCAGCAAGCTGTCTGCACGCTGTCTCTGTCGCATTTGCACGCGTTCTAGATGCGCTTTTAATTAATTAAAATTCCACATGCGAATTATGTTTCATCTCCGCTGACTTGCCACTGCTTCCTGGGTAGCTTGACGCTGCCTCTTCCGACTTTTTAATTACCCACGCACAGCTTTTTACTTTCGTTCAAGTCGTTGCACGTCGCGATTTATCCGTTTTAATAATGCGGCAGGCACATTTTCAGACAGTGAGAAGGATCGACAGAGTGGGAGAGGGAGGGAGAGAGGGTCGTTGTAGCAGGCAGAATAGCGGAAGTACAGTAAACACATACATCTACTACGTTCGGCCAAACAGCTGCCCGACTCGAGCATGTAAATTAAGTCGAAAGCGTTTAGGATTATGAGCCAGTCAGTCAGTATAGTCAGTCGCTAATTGCTGAAATATGCACAGCAACATAAATATAAGCGACTAAGTAAGCGACTAGGAAGTGAAGGATATGGGAGCATTGAGGTTAAGCTGACTTCAAGAATTTCTCTCAATTGTATCTCAACTGTAAAAACAAGTGCTTTTTTGTTGAGACAAACTTACTTCTAAAACGAAATTTTACTTTAAAATGAGATTTTCCACTATTTCTATTAGGCTCTCTTGTTGCAGAATTAAAGAATTAGAATGTTTTGGATACAAATATGACCCGGAGCGATTTTGGAGCACAAATTCATCTGTTTTTCATCTGTAGATATTCTTGGTTGTCTTGGTCAATAGTTCTTCTTTAATAGTTCTTTTTTGAATAGCTTATGCTATATTCTTAATGTTACAACTGCAGAAATTCCATTCTTTACTCAAATTTTAACTGAACTTCTTTGTTGAATAATTTTGAAAGTTATAAACATTGCAGAAATCAATTAAATATGTACACAAATAAAACTCTGAAGGAAGGGAAATTTGATAAAACGAAAAATATTTGTCTTTGTCGAAACATATAAAATGTTAGGGGTTTTTAACGATGTTTTTCGATATTTATTCTAATAGAAATTTAATTGAGGCTTTTATTGAACGACATTAAATATTTTAAGGCATTTCTGGAAACTAAGAAGCTTTTTTTATACCCTGTACCCGTAGGGTAAAAAGGGTATATTAGGTTTGTGCAAAGTATGTAACATACAGAAGGAAGCATCTCCGACCCCATAAAGTATATATATTCTTGATCAGCATGACGAGAGAAATCGATCTAGACATGTCCACCCGTCTGTCCGTCCGTCCGTCCGTCTGTCCGTCCGTCTGTCCGTCCGTCTGTCCGTCCGTCTGTTCGTCCGTCTGTTCGTCCGTCTGGATGAACGCGAGGATCTCAGAAACTATAATAGCTAGAATAACCAAAGTTGGCATCCAGATTCTCCTAGGTCCGAGTAAGGACGAGTTTTTTTTATTTTTTGGAATTTTCCCCCCCTTCCCCCGCTACAGAATTTCGTCAATAGCGTCTACATTTCAAATGCTACCTAAACCAAACTTTGCACACATAATTTATATATAATTGTCTACTGTTGTTCAATTTTCATTCATTTTTTATTCAATTCGGTCAATTCTAAGAAAAGTTATTAGCGAAACAAATTCTGGCTGGTACAACCCCCCCAAACTGCAGCAACAAGTTCGCTCTTCTTCTTCCTCTTTTTGCTGCTGCTTTGGGCGCATATAACTCAGTGACGGAAGTTTACCTGGGTACAGGGTATAACACTGTCGTGCTTGCTCGACTGTAGCGTTCTCTCTTGTTATTTATAAAATTTTTCTTATCAAAAGCATTTTATGATCTATAAATACACAGATAAGATAAATGTTTGAAATGTTTGAACTCATTTCCGAATGTTATAAAACATATCAACACCATTGCACACAATAGCTTTGATGCAATGAGCAAATCAATTTGAGGGTTTAGGTATAATAATAAATGGGAAGTTTTATTTCAAGTTCCAAGGCTAGGTGCCTTGATGATCCTAATGCTACAATTAAACTTCTATTCATTTCTCTTGAGTTTGGAGCCCGCAAATTATAAAGCATCAGGAAGTATCAGGAGCATGAAGCAGGTCACACTTTTTCTCTCTGGGAGGGATTACAAAACATATCCTCCCAAAGTGTAGGATGCATTAATAGACTTAATTGTACTTTTCTTAGATTATTTTTGAGGCCTTCTCTAATATTTTAAGTTGCAATTATTAAGTACTGTTATACATTTTGTATTTCATTTAATATTATTTAATTTAAACTAGGGGAAAAGATTACTTGGTGTAGAATAAATTTAGATGTGTAGAATAATTATAGTCTGTGAGAACTAGGTATTCATACGGACAGACATAGATCGACTCGTCAGGTTGATCAAGAATATATATACTATACTCTGTCTGTTACATTTATCACCTTCTACATTTCATGTACATACTTGTACAGTATGAAAAATATATTACTATTCTGTTCTATTTTGCCATATTTTGTGGTCATGAGCTCTTTGCAACTTTATTTTCAATTCCCGGCAACACAAAAGCCACAGAATTAGCATATCAGCTACGGCAAGTATCAAGCCTTAAATAAACATATATAAATACTGCACATACACAGATGCATATGTATATTGGCTGGCAAGTCAAAATGTTGATTCCCTGGGCAGCTTGTGACAATGAATTTGTATGAAAATTAAATTTGAACAGAGAGTGTGGTGTGGTTTGACAAAAACAATGGGATACCGGCAAACAAAATTAACGGGAAGAGGGACACGAACTGTTAGGCCCGATTACAAAAGGCACTAAAAATCAGGCTGATCATAATTTATTGGCCAAAATGGAAAGCATTTCAACGAGCCGGCTGGCCAAACAGCCGAATAGCCAAAAGGATGAAACATGAAATCGAACAAAAGCCGCTCCCGATGCTTGGTCGAGTGGTTCGCAGAGCGGTGGTTTGGGTGCGTTTGTCTAGCTGACACTTTCATTAACAAAAAGTCATCAGCTTGTCTGTGTGTGTGTGTGTGTGTGTAAGTGTGTGTCGGTCTGTTTGTGTGTTTTGCATTGTTACAAAGTGCAGTGGCAGTTGGGGTGTGCCTGTCCCCGTCACACCTCTGCTGATGGGCGGCTGCCTCTGCACTGCGGCACGTAAATCTAAACAACGGCTGACAGCTTTCAACTGTGCGCTTCATACCTCCCTCCAATCATCCATCTAACCACCCAACCATCCAACCATCCATACATTCATCCAACCATCCATCCATCCACTCAACTCAACTCCGAGCCAAGTTAGAGCACATTTTTATGTACCTTGAAATGGGCAGTTGACAGGCAAACGAGGATGTTGGGGCGGCCATCTTGAGGGTCGGGTCGCATAAGCCATACTTTATTCAGTACATACTACATTTATCAATGTATAGGTATGCATATGTGTATAGTATGAGTGTATACTATATATGTATATGGCCAGTTGGGTTGTTTGTCTGAAATTGACAACATCGTTTGTTGCGCCCCGCCCCGCCCCGCTCATCATCTGCTGCCATTGTTTACCCCGTCTAGCCGAGATTTAAGTGAACGCTTTATTGTTTGTTCAATTTTGTGCAACATTGCCAGCTAGGTGTTAATCTAATAACTGTCAAGTGCAGGATGCCAGGATGTTGAAACCAGATATGGCTAGGTGCCTTTCAAATGACGGCAAATTGCTCGCCTCTGCAACATACGAGTAGTCAGTCAGATACTTGTATGCCACCCATCCATATGTGGGTGTTGTTTGGATGCAGAAATCGCTTCGATGAGCGGAAATGGCTTAGTCAGGCAAATGGAGGGACACAATTGTCCTTATTTATTATAATGAATGAATAACTACTATATATTCTACACATATGCTGCCACAAATGATCAGTTTTCCGCATATACTTGTAAGTATGTTACATATGTAAATAGAGGAAAATGTAAACTAACCAAAAACTGAGGTATGTAAGCATTTATATTTAAAGGCTATAGTGGAAGGAGAGTCCAAATTTCTCCTTTATTGGGCTTTCATACGTGACGCTTGGAGATATTTTTATCGCAATTCTTTAGTGTTCATTTTATATCTGCCTCCAAACGTCGTATCTGCCATAATCATATTTGAAATTCTAGGTTTATGTCAATTATCTCCCAAGTTTCACCAAATTATCGGCAATTCAAAATGATATCCCTAGTGAAATATAGTTAGTGGTAGAATCATGATCAAGAAATGGACACTATTGTAAAGAATTTTAATGTATGTAATTAAAACTCCACTCCCCAGAGCTTTGTTTGTCGATGAAATAAATAAATAAATTTCAAATCAAATATATGTAATATCTAGATTGTTTAGTGTTTAGATTTCTAGTTTCTGAGCATTTTGTTTGTAATCCGACACTGGCAGCTATCCAGCTGTCTTTGGTTTAAGTTTACAACAAATTCGAGGAATAAACATCACCCGGTTCTATAGATTCTTGGGCTGACTATAAATGCTGGACAGCCGGCATTTGAAAGCTTTAGTTGTTTTGAAATTTGTAGCGTTATGATCACACTGGGAAAATTCTTATTGGTCCTCATAGTTCTGCTGTTGTTGTATGCCAGCTATATCTACAACTATCAGATGTACTTTAAGCGTGAGTATTTGGAGCTGAGCTTATATTTTGGTTACCTCGGCGTTCGTTTCGTTTTTCAGCTCGCTGTAGTAAGCCGTTTGTGCAGATCGGAGAGAACTGTTATTTCTTCTCGACCAACAAAGCTGTGCGTATGTCTAGAATCAGTTAGTTATAGTTCCAGCCCTATAACTATAGCCTTTGCATCCTTGCAGCCCTCCTATGAGTACTACAAGCTGTCGTACAAAGGCATTACCTTCAGTGTTCCCACTACGGTGAGTCAGTGAGTCTTTGGTATTTTTTTCTTTCAAAGCAAACCCAACTCTCTAATGTCCCGCTGGCCCACAGCTGGACTGGTTACATGCCGGCTTCGGTTGCGAGACTCTCGATGCGGAGGCGCGTGTCGTGAGTGTTGAGAGTCTGCACGAGATGCGCGCGATTTCCGATTATATGCGGCATCAGGCTCACGCCGAGACCAAACCTGCCTTCTGGAGTGGCGGACATCGTGGCAGAATGCTGCACATGAGCATCGATAAGCATACGTTGAATGATTTCTATTGGCACCATGCCCAGCTACCCATGAACTACTCGAATTGGGCGACAGGCGAGCCACAGGACAAAGCATTCCCCGAAGGATTTTGCGTCTATCTGGAATTTACAGGCTCCGAACTGGTAATGGGCACTATGCATTGTGATAAGAAAATGGCATATGTTTGCGAGATACAGCATCAGTAGACGGCAAGTCTTTGAGGTCGAAAATAGTTTTGAGTTTTTATCCTAACTTACCAACAAATTTTTTTTTGTAATTAAATTTAGCTTTAGATACATTTTTAGTACATAATAAATATTAGAATAAGCGTTTGTTCGTTTGTTTTTGCATCGCTTTTTATTTGTGAACTTCAACAACCATTAATGGCATTCGTGGTAGGAAATTCGACTCGCAAATAGGGGAAATTATTTTTCATTTTCTTGTAACTTACTAACGAGGCGCCCTATATCGGTGTAAAAATCATATGTAAATAGATTTATGAAGAGACCCTCACTATTATAGTGAAGTATTAAGAACATCGCTTGCTTCTGTCATACAGGTGCCATAGGACCAATCGATGAAACGATCACTCATATGTTTTTAATTATATATTCAACGAATTTAATTTTACCCTTATATATATGCTAAAATTTGTTAATTACTCGTATCTATATCATCTACACCTAGCCCTAGCTTAACACGACCTCTTTTAATAAGAACCCGGTCCAACACGATTAAAAATTTGCTACTTTTTCTCCTTTAACACTCTGAAAACCTCGTTCTTACACGATAGAAGTGGAAAATATTTAAAAAGGACTCAATTTTATTGCTAAAATATGAACTGTTTATTTTATCTCTAAAAGTGCTTAAGGAGTAAACATTGAATGGATTTTGGAAGAAATTATACCCAGCGGTTCTTTACAATTGCAAAACCCTTTCTTTTGGAAGCATGAGGACCACAACAAACAAAATGTTTAACGCGAAAACGGCTCATAATTACAGGTCGAGTAGACTAAATGCCAATTCCCCTCAATGCCATTTAAATTTTATATTAAGCTCCTTAAACATTTTCTTATGTTTAAAAATATTTCCCTTTTTATTAAGATTAATCTGTTAATGATAAATATTCATCACTTGGAGTAGCTTTTTGTTATTTTGAAAATGGTTGGACCTTACAGGCAACCCCATATTTTATATGGAGTCCAAGTCTCGTTTAACACAATTTTCTAGGAACGCGACCCCCCTGTTAAGTGAGAGCTAGGTGCAATGGTCCTAAGAATGAGTGGTGCAACGTTTTATGGAATTAAAAGCCGCAGAGGTGAAAATGTGGATACAGAGCCTACACTAGTGTTCCTTAATTCTGATTATTTTTTAATGCTCAAATGTACATATTTGTGTATGGGGGCTCTATTTCAGTTTGGTTTTTTTCATTTCGCATTCAATAGGTTAGGTCGACCATGTGGAAATCGCCACCGCATAGTAATTTATTTGTGCTTTTCCGGATCTAGCCAGTTATCACGGCACATCGTGAAATTTGCTTGTATATTTTTTTCTTTTTTGATGTGAGGTCAAGCCCAGACAAACACAATGAACATATATCGCCATATGAGTATGCTGCCTCACCAAAAATCCCATAAAAATCAGCCATGAACCATTCACATGCAGGCAAAGTCAGGGCGCAGTCGAGCATAAAATCGCTACAAAAAGCAAAAACTGTTGAGCATAGACAGGCAGATAGAAAACCCAGAACAGCAGACAGAGCTTAGACGAAACCAAACGAAAAAAAGAGGAAAAAAAACAGAAGAAGTTGGGAATATACAGAGACAGTTGCGTTATAAAGTTGCAAACATTTTTATGAATCGTAAATCGAAGCGATAAAATCGGGAGATGAGGACGATACTCGTATTCGTAGTCGTGCTCGTTGCAGTTGCTTTCTACAACTGTTTGCGTTTCTATCTCATAAGTCACACGATAAATATTGCAACATGGCGCTAATGACAACAGCAGCAGCATCATCATCAACAACAACAACAACAATAGCAACGAAAAGAGAGCAAAAAGGCAGTTGTGCTCGCTGCAAAGTGCCCTGAATTGTGCCCCATTTCCAAATACTCGTCCGCCGACCACCATTTTGCGACTGCAAACGGCGGAAGTTCATTATTGTCAGTGATTAATGACAAAACAGACACACGGAGAGGAGGCAGAGAGGCGACACTGACGCGGATGTGGACATCGGGCCAACAGCGCTGACATTCAGCCACATAAGTTAGCCAAGCAAATGCGCTGACAACGAACCAACTTCCCAAGTCCTGTCCCCGTCCCCGTCCCCATCCCCGTCGCTGTCCTTCTTGCTGCTGTTCTTGCTACTGTTGATGGCGTCCGGCTAGCGAGCGGCACCATTTATGGGTTTTAGTGCTTCCGCTGTTTGCTTCGGCCAACAATACTAAAGTAAAAAAAAAAAACGAATAAAGCTATGCCGAAGCTACATACCCTTTACAGTTGCTAATAACCAAACATTTCTCCTACAGATGAGGTGTTCGGTGGTGCAGAAAGCACGTAAGTTTATTGAAGAATTTGCATAAAAAAACTTTAAAAAAATAATAATAAAAGAGGTTGTGGCGCGGAAAAGCGAGAAATTCAAAACATTTCTGTTATATAAACTAAAATTCATACATTTGTTTCCAACATGGAATAAATTCGAGTATAAACAATACATAAAATACCCTGTGTTCTCCACAAAAAAGGAAATTACCAAAAAAAATAATATTTAAACAAATTTAATTAATTAATGAAATTAAAAATAAAATATTCTACACATGCATACATACATAAGTCATTTATTTATTTGGTGCCATTTCTGCACGAAAAGAGCGAAGACATTCATTTCGATTTGAAATGACGATATAAAAGCACTTGCACTTTAAATGCGAGAATAAAACATATGTTATTTACCCGTTGGTCGGAAGTGGCACCTTGCCGAAAATCCGTTGGTATGACGAACAACGCCAATTTATGCCAAGTTAAGTTCAGCCGAAAATACGTGCCGAAATAATAAAATAAACAAGCCAAATTAGAACGGCTTATAGGTTATACTTAGGTAACCACAATCTTAATCGTTCAGCCCGAGTAGATTGAGCACGTCTTGTTTCCATGCGATCTCGAGGTGAAAAGAACGAATCGGATGCAGATGCCACGCAAGAAAACTTTCCTTTACGGAAATCGCTTCACCTTTCTTTTGACAATGCCCCCTTTGACATGTCAAGGTTGAAAGAAAGGACCACTGACAACCTACAAATATTGCCACTATGCAAGAGGAAAATATCCAATAGGCGACCCAGAGCTGAGCTGCTGAAGAAAATTAACTCCCCTTTTAATAATCGCATAAATACCAAAAAGATATCCGTTCTTCTCCCTAATTAATGTCTAAAATAAAACAACAATTACCCATTGGCAATTGCCGCTAAAATACATCAAAACAAAATACAACTAAAACGAGCAGTGTGTACATTCAAACGCATAAATAAATAAAGTAAGGCAACGAAAAAATACGACATTCACTATCAGCGTCGTTACACTCGTTTGAGGCCAAGCATTAACTCATTTGATTGAGCGCAAGAGCGGTCGAACATGCTCGTTGTAGTTATCTGCTCTCTACATACCTCGTTTGTATTTAAAGTAGTTCAGGTCTTTATTTGAAGAGCACACATATCGGGTACGCTCTGTCGGTTAATACAAAAATAAATAAATATAAATTACAAAAATAGGCTTAGATAAAGTCGTCGAAAATCTTTTTTCTTGCCATTAACACAAAATACCAATTTTTAAAAATACAGAAATTGTGCTCCGGAAAATGAGTATTGTGAGTTTTAATGAATTTATTGCGAAATTCAAATGATACACCCAACGCTCCTGCAATAAAAAAGAAAAAACAAAAGTGATTGTTTTCTACGAGAAAGAGGCGAATTATGATCTCTAAAAAGTGTTTCCGAGAAGAATATATGCATATGTATGTATATTGAAATAACATTAGAAAACTTGAACTAGAACTATTCAAATGGAAGCGTTAAAGATAGTTTTCAGTTTGAAACGACGATCAAAAGCATTTTAATAAATTTAACTAAGCAAATTGATTCAAATATTCGGAAAATATAAATACAATATAAAATTGCTTTCTTGTGCATGATGTTGAAGTACATCTCTTTGATCTACAATTTCAGTTTGTGCCTCGAATTAGAATTGCCTCAAAAAAAGAGGGTTTGCGGAAAAAAATATGTGGCTCATAATTGTAGACTTCGTACTACTTTGTGTTACTACTCTCTGTTACTGTACTACTCATTGTTGAGTTCTCGGAAAGGGTATGCAGAGACTGTCAAAAGTCCGTCTTTTTCGCTGCTAGTTCGGTTGGTTTGTCTGCGCTGCCCCGTTTAGCCTTACACTAAGCTGTCGACAGCTTCGAACGTCACTCAGTCAGTCATTTAGTAGAACGGTTTGGACCAAAGAGTTCGACAAATGCAGTGCAGCTGCCAACATCATTTACGCGCTGATTTGGCAAGCGCTTGAATGGAAATTGAAGGGGAAACTGTGGAATAATTTTCCCCAGGCCAGCGTATGTGTGAGCATGTTGTAAGCCATTGAAAAACACTTTATTCCGAGCAGATGGTCCGCCACCTCGCCTCGCCTAGGACTATGCCATGCTAAACGCCATTGACAACAGCACGCAGACAAGTGCAAGACGAGGGTTCAATGTACGCCAGCCAGAATTAATTTCAAACAATAAAGTGCAAGCACATAACAAGTAAAGTTGAAGCCGCTGGGAGAGGCAGGAAGGTAAGGCCCCATGACAGCAACACCAACAGCAACAGCAAAACAAATTAAATAAAAATTCCAACATGAGCATACGAAACGCTCCGAGGAAGAGCAAGGCGATGATGACGACAATAAAGATGATGATGATGATGTTCTTAAGAGAGCAACAGTAAGGAGCAGAACAGTTTGCCAAAGTTTTAGTCATACGGCTAAGACAAATGGACCAACAGACAGACAAACAGTCAACTACGTGCCTGCAAATACTTCGCCCTGAGATCAAGCTAAGAGCCAAAACAGTCAACTACTTGTCGAAACAGATTTTGCTTTAATTATGCCAAGTTCTTAACCATCCGAAAAACCACAATGTGAAGCTTTCATCTACTGCGTGGATAAAAAATAAATGTCTTCTCGGTTTTGTGCAAAGCGTGCTGAATTTCAAGGAACATTTGACAGAGAAAACAAATTTCTTAAAAGAAACAAATGTTGATCTTGGATCTCAGAAGAACACTCAATAAGTCTTCT